TTTTTTTTTTTTTTTTTTTAAGATTGTGCACTACTGGTAGAAAGCTTGGAAAATACAGTAAAATAGCAGGAAAAATGTCATTATATCTGTCAATAATAAGCCCATCTTGTGACCTACTTTCTGCTTTTAATTTTTTTAATTTAATTTTTTGTTTTTATTTATTTTGAGAGAGAGAGAGAGAGAGCCAGTGGTGGAAGGGCAGAGAAAGAGAGGGAGAGAAAGAGAATCCCAAGTGGCTTCACAGTGTCAGCACAGAGTCCAGTGCAAGGCTCCAGCCCGCAGACCGTGAGGTCATGACCTGAGCCAAAATCAAGAGTCAGATGCTTTCTTTAAAAATGAATTTTGAGGGGCGCCTGGGTGGCTCAGTCGGTTAAGCCTCTGACTTCGGCTCAGGTCATGATCTCACGGTTCATGAATTTGAGCCCCGCGTCAGGCTCTGCGCTGACAGCTCAGAGCCTGGATGGAGCCTGCTTCGGATTCTGTGTCTCCCTCTCTCTGCTCCTCCCCTGCTCATGCTCTGTCTCTCTCTGTCTCTCAAAAAATGAATAAACATTAAAAAAATAAATAAAAACAAATGTTGATATAATTGAGTTCAAGGTTTACATAATTTGAGTGTATATAAACTTTTTCTTTGTTTATTTTAATATTACCTTCGTCATATTTCAGGAATCTTTTCCCCTCTCTACCCAGAACTGTTATTATAGTATTTATAGACATTATCTATACCATTTTAAAATTTACAGTTATATCCCTTTAAGCTTCTTTAAAGCTCTCTGTCCTCTAAATGGTCCACAAAAGTTTTAGTGATTCCACAACGTAAGTTGGGAGAGTTTCTGGAATCAGAATGATCTGGATTCAAATTAATGTTCTGCCACCCCTTCCTAGTTATGTAGTAATGGGAACGTCTAAAAATCAATACCCTGGTTCTTTCATTGGAGAAATAAGAGTAGTAATAGTACCCACTTTGTAGTATACCCACTATTGAATATACGCACTCGTTGTCAATCCAAGCAAATAACAGGCCAGGTACATAGCAGTCTCTTGACCAATGCTGGTTCAGAAAATAAGCTACTCTAATGAGGCCGACCTTTGTCTGCCCTCAGTGCAGAAGAACCCAAATTGCCAAGAGATTCCAAAACTACTCTACAGTTAGGAATCGGTTAGGCTTACGAGCCCACCAGCTGTTGGACGAACCAGTCAGTAGTAGCTTAGATTGGAGCCGACTTCCGGGGAAGTTATCTGTGTGCTTTAGGATATGGATAATGCTGAATAGCACAGATGATGCTTTCGGATGGCTTCAAATCTCTAAAGCCAGTATCTAACCCCTTAAATACACACACCTACCAATGAGCCCTTAAATACCCTTAAATACACATCACCGATAAGCACGCGATGCTCTTTTCAAAGGGAACATCATGGGAAAACACAACAGCATAGAACATATACAATTCCTAGGCCTACTTGAGGTCCAGATCAGGGCCAGGACTAGAGTGAGGCGAGCAAGGTGACCTGGTCTGGGTGGGACATCCTAAATAAACAGAAGCAAGCTAAGCAGAGCTGCTCTGGCAGGAGTGGAGACGGTGTTTGTGAGTCGGACGCCCCAGTTACCTGCACCTTCCCCAGGCTGGGGCCTTGGACAAACCCTCAGGCAGGTCGGAGGCAGTTTACAAGCCCTTGCTCTAATCTGCTAACGGAATGGTGTTAATTGCCTCAAAGAGATTGACCCCTGGGATAGATCCAATGTACCTAAAACACGCAGATGTTTTGAATCAGTCGGAAGGAATGATCAAGGCACTGATGGTGGAGGGACCTCACAGATGAGGGGGCTCACACTGAGCCAGAGCAGCCACAGGAGGGAAGCCTCGTGGCCCAGGTTGGATGTAAGCCTGTGTTTGAGCGGCTGGGAGCCCGAGGTGTGGCAGGTAACGATGGACAGGACTTTCAGTGAGCTTTTCTGTTTTGTTCTTTCTTCACTTTTTTTTTTTCTGTTCCTGAGGCTACATTAAAAGTGGACTTGTTTTGGGGGCACCTGGGTGGCTCAGTCGGTTAAGCATCCTGCTCTCAATTTCTGCTCAGGTCACGATGTCACATTTCATGAGATTGAGCCCCGAGTCGGGCTCTGCGCTGACAGTGCAGAGCCTGCTTGGGATTCTCTCTCTCTGTCTAACCCCCCCCCCCCCAACTGTCTCTCTAAGTAAATAAATAAGCTTAAAGAAATTAAAAAAAGTAAAGTCGTTTTTAAATCAAAGTTTTCTGAAAATTGAAATGTGAGGTAACTGCGTGTGTCCCAAGGAGGCTTATTGATCCAATTCTTACCTTTTGGTTTATGGTTCGTGTTTCGTTCTCTTCAACGGGTACTGATTAAACAGAATGTGCCGAGTGCTATCCTGTGTATGCGATGTGGTATTCATGGAAACAAAACAGACGTAATTCGTTGCTCATGGGCTCACATTTTAACAGGGAAGGGAATAATAACCAAATAACTACTGAAATAATTAAGAAAATACCTCGGTGATAAATGCAAAGAAGGAAAATGAGTTGACTGGCCATTCTAGATTGTATTTCTCTTAATTCCAATTCTTCTTGATAAAGGTTTTCCACCAATTAATAAAAGACAGCTGTGGTTATTATTATTGATTGTAGCAGTAGTTTCCCCCCTCCCCCTCACCCCCCAGAGCAGCCATGGACCCGGAGGTCCAAGGGTGCGAGAAGGAGAGGAATCCTACTGGATGAGAAAGAAAGTGAGCCCCAGGGGCCGTAGACGACAGACTTCACTGTTTCGTTCACCTGAGTGGATTCAGTTTGTGGTTCTTCCCGGCGTCCTCATTCGCACGGCAATCCTGATCATGTGAACATGACTTCGCTTTCGGAACAGGTGCCGAGGTCTCCTTCCGACACCGTGTGACCCAGATCAACCTGAGAAATGACAAGTGGGAAGTGTCCAAGGAAACAGGTTCCCCCGAGCGGTTTGACATCGTTGTCCTCACGATGCCGGTTCCGCAGATTCTGCAGCTCCGAGGTGACATCGCAAACTGTGAGTCCCGGCCTGCGCCGTTCGCGCGAGAGACTGGAGATCCTCTCACAGGGCATGAGTTCCGTTAAAACTGGCTTAGCAGAGGGTGTGTTATGGATTCTTTCGCTTTGCATGTTTTAAAAACTGATACCATGGACTTGCTCGTGACATTGGTCTAGGTCAGACTGACACCCAGGGGATTGTTCTTTAACCGGTTGGAGGTTGAACATTGTTGTTATTGCCCTTGCCTTTAAGAAGTAAATATTTTTGATGGACATGCATGTAGGTTGGCCTAAGTCTCTTTGTGGCCCTCGTGGGGGAAAGGAAGGCTTTTCTGATTCAAGAATTGATTACGTCAACCTTCTGGCAAGCCTCGTCTTGGATGGCTCCTGAGTGCTACTGAGTTCTTCCCTGCTCGGGACTTGTCGGTTCACTTTTTCTTTACCCGGCTTCTCCCCTCCTTTTTTTTTAAAAACAGGCTTGAGGTATAATTCACATACCATACAGTTCACTTATTTAGAGTGTACGCGTCAGTAGTATTTGGTATACTCCCCGATATATGCGACCGTTACCCCATTTTCATCACCTTGGAAAGAAACCCGAAGTCCTAAAGCATTCACCACCTTCCCTCTGTCTCCGTTTCCATCCCAGCCCCGAGCAAACAAGAATCTACTCTGTGTCTCTGTCGATTTCCCTATTCCCTGGATCCTTAAGAAAAGCCCTTCTGTGGTCCTGCTTTGCTTCCGTGTATAACAGGTTTTGCTGATTTTCCTCGTCTCTTCCGTCATGTGTGACTGGACCTGACTCATCAGAGCCACTGACTTCTAGAAGTTACGTCATCTTGCTTTGAAGCCCGTGGGTTATAGCAGTGGTGGGCGGGGCTTCAGGGCCGTGGGATGGTGGTGGATATGGTCGTGCCTATAGCTTTTGACTTTCTCGTAGGACTAAAGTTGACGTTGGATTTAACTGAGGAACAGCCTTTTATGTCCCCATTAGCACGAAAACTGGTAATAAATACGGTTTGTAGATCTTATTTTTAGAGCCGTAATGGGAATTGTTCTCCAAGGAAGAACATCGCTGCTTATTACACCTTGAAAGCAGTGTATTTTTCCCGAATATCAGGTCCACCGCGTGGTAACAACGTAGGTCCTTCTCCAGCACAGTCTGAGATGACAACATAGAAGGGACTGGAAGGCTTGCCAGACAGCTAAGGGCACAAAACCAATTTCAAGGATCTCTTTTACAAGCCTACCTCTGCTCTGTTGTTCTATTGTCGCTTTAACGTAGGAGGACTTCTTGCTATGGAGTCTGTAACAGGTGGGCTGATTTGGAGACTGGTAAATAACATACTGTAACACTTACCTGAAACACAGCGGTTGGTCATTACATTTGGTTGTGCTGTAAATTGCATGTTCCTGTTTTTATTTTATTTTTTTAAATTTTTTTAACGTTTATTTATTTTTGAGATAGAGAGAGACAGAGCATGAACAGGGGAGGGGCAGAGAGAGAGGGAGACACAGAATCTGAAACAGGCTCCAGACTCTGAGCTGTCAGCACAGAGCCCGACGCGGGGCTCGAACTCACGGACCGTGAGATTGTGACCTGAGCCGAAGTCGGACGCTCAACCGACCGAGCCACCCAGGCACCCCTGCATGTTCCTGTTTTTAAAAGCTACCTATTTTTGTATGTGAGGGGAGACCCTTTAACATTGCATTTTGAAAGCAGTTCTCCATATTTGTAAATGGTGACATATACAACATAATGTCATGGCGTGGACTGACCCTAAAGATCTTGGAGGGTCTGCTAATTGATAATTTTATTTAGATCTGCTGTATCCTTATTTTTTTGAATGTTGGAACTGTGTGGGGGTGAGAGATACCTTAATTCTACTATTATTTTGTTTCTGTCTTTCCTGGGGCTATGGCTATTAATTTTTTTCTGCAATTTTTGCTTTGTGATCTTCTGATACCGTATTATTTGATTCATAAAGTATCTTTACTACAATGATACTCTCTAACTTAAAAAGGTCTCTCTTTAGTCTCATTTTAATTTTATTTTGCCTTCACGTCAACCTTGACCAATAAATGAGATGCTCATTCTTTGGTTATCATGTGTCTGGCTCAACATTTTTACTTCTAACCTTTCAGAGAGACTTTATTTCAGAAGAACATCTTTTGTATCTGTTTATCTTTGAGTCCAGTAATTTCATGAGGATATACCTTCTTGATCATTTCTTACGGGGCGTGTTGTCCATTTTTGACTTGAAGACAGCTGTTTTCTTATTTTCAGCTGTTTCCTCCTGATACTGTACTTACTTGAAGAGTTTTTTCTGTTCCCCCTTTGATGAGGATCTCACAGTATCTCAACAACTACAAAGTGTCTTCTTCCCATATCTGCCATTTTGTCTCAACTCACTTCAACTTTGGTCTTGGCATTACTTTGTACTTTCTTTTGCTGGCCTTCTCTTCTCATCACCTATGTGATTTTTCAAAGAGGTCATAGATTATTCCCTGTTTTCAGGTCATTGCCTCATTCCAGCCACATTTTTCTGGGATGTATTTTTCATCAGCTCATTTGTGAGGTTCTGTTATGCTGTGTCTTCCTTAGCTTCTCTACTTGGGTCCCTCTCTAATTATTGCCCATTTTTCCATGATCCCATTTCTGTCGACTTCACAAAGCATAGTGTTGTCAAGAACGGCCAGACATTTCAGTCAGAGTATGTTGCTAGTGATTATGAAGATTGGGTGCCAGTGATCATTAGTATAATAATATTTTTATTAATTTGGAAAGATTCCACAATATTTTTAAATTAGAAAAAGTATATAGATGCATCTGTATTTCTTTTCTGTTGACAAAAAATGGTTTGGCAGAAACAGATTAACATTGTTATTGCTTGAAGATGATTTTAATTTCCTTTCTTACAATTTTGTGAATAGTCATAACTCTAAAAATAAGGACAGTTTACTTTTACTATAAACAATGATAACGACACCATTTTAAGAAATGTTATCAAGCTGCAAAGGAAATAGAACTGTTTTCCTTTTCCTTTTTATTGGAGGCGTACGATGGATTATGCGGGCTCTTTGCGATGAAAACGTTTATGGATGATTGACTTGGTACACTTGACTGAGGGTGAGGGTCTTTGGGTTTTGGGTTGGCTCAGTTCAGAATTGGACCCCATGTGAATAATTCTGTGTTTAGTTCACTGTTAGGAAATAAGTCACCCTGGCAGAATGTGCCAACACTGACCCTTTACTACCTATGGGTCTAAAACAAAAGGGATTAAAAACATCCGCTTTCTCTTTGTTGTAAATCTCAACAGTGAGCTCAGTATGAGGATCATCAATGTCTTCTCTCTGTGTTTTCTGGAGAACCTTAACCACGCTCGCTCTCGTTTGATTCCACTTCTTCCATTCCTGCGAGAAAGACCTTCATCTACAAAGCCACGTGTTGCCATCTAGTGGACCCTGTGTGCATTGCAGCTCCCCTCAATTTTTCAACATTTATTTATTTTTGGGACAGACAGAGACAGAGCATGAACGGGGGAGGGGCAGAGAGAGAGGGAGACGCAGAATCGGAAACAGGCTCCAGGCTCCGAGCCATCAGCCCAGAGCCCGACGTGGGGCTCGAACTCACGGACCGCGAGATCGTGACCCGGCTGAAGTCGGACGCTTAACCGACTGCGCCACCGAGGCGCCCCTCCCCTCAATTTTTAAACTACCAAGGACTCTGAAGATGATGGCAATAGGGGATATACGTAAACCGGTAACTGTAACATAATTCCCCAAACCCGACAGTCATCACAGGGAAATAAACCTAGGCGCATGACAACTGACTGACCGGCTTACCCGGAAGTGCATAGCTGGTCAGGGACGGAACCGGGGGCCATCTTCCAAGCCTCGCATTCCTACGAACCGTGAGCAGCCCCCGCCTTTGCTTTCTCTGCATTTCCTTCTCGTCCCCGTCCCCTTCGTAAATCACATCTGCCCTTTTGGGTCAATACAAATGCCATCTCTTACGTGAAGGACTTCCCTGTTGATTTCACGTGGACTGGATTCTCCCCTACGCACTGCTCCCTTTCCCTATTTTGCTTTTTACGGAAGACGCAGAACTACGTTTTGGGGAGGCAGTCATGTATTACATTTATTACAGTATCCCAGGTGAGAGAACAGGGAATCTTTATGGCCCGCATAGAGAACCTCTTATCATTCACGATTCACCTTCTGGTCCTGTGACGGCTGCTCTAGAATACAGCCACCGAAGAAAAGCAACCATGAGGCCTTAAAGCAGGCAATTTTAGAATAAGGGTATATGTGCTTCAATTCTTTGTACAGAAGTTTGGCATCCGACATAGCATTATTTGAGTCTAAAAGAAATGCTTCCTTTGTTTATATTTTTAAAATTATAACACTTGTTCGTCCAAAACATAATAGTTTAAAAATTTCAGTAAATTCACACATGGTAGGTTTTTGATGAACTATTGAAGATCTTGGGGCTACATTTCTAACTTTCTGAAGATGCCCTAGTGAATGTTCACTTTCTCAGTAGTTATCTGCCTAGCACTCCTCCCCTTTCCTCACATCGGTTCCCCAGTGAGCCGGCATCGATCGTCCCACGCCGTCTTCTCTTGTCCCACACCTTCTCCGGCCACACAGCCTGGCTCCACATACCCTTCATGCTGGGCGTAAGAATTGCTCAGGTTTGGGGCGCCTGGGTGGCACAGTCGTTTGAGCGTCCGACTTCAGCCGGGTCACGATCTCGCGGTCCGTGGGTTCGAGCCCCGCGTCGGGCTCTGGGCTGACGGCTCGGAGCCTGGAGCCTGTTTCCGATTCTGCGTCTCCCTCTCTCTCTGCCCCTCCCCCGTTCATGCTCTGTCTCTCTCTGTCCCAAAAATAAATAAACGTTGAAAAAAAAATTAAAAAAAAAAAAAAGAATTGCTCAGGTTATATTCTTAATATTTTCTGTTCTTTCCATTTAATTTAATTTTATTTTAATTTTTTAAGTTCATTTTTTTTGAGACA